GCTCAGGGTGGGACCTGGGGGAGCCCCAGCCCTGGGACCAGGGGCAGGTGAGACCGCAGGTGCGTGCGCAAAGGCCCTGCTGCTTTGCATTTCTGTGCCTAGGGGGGTTGGGGGCCCAGAGCGGCCCCCAGGTTCTCTGCTGAGATTCTTGTGCGGGAGCGAAGGGCGAAATTGGGAGGGGGGGTTCTCATCTGCCAGCTTCCTGAGGGTCCCCCTTTGCTTTGAACGTCCCAGGCGAGTGCCGGACGGTTGGGTCTCTTGCTTCTCTGGCCACCTGCAACTTCTGCAGGAGCCAGGAACCAGCAAGAGGCTTGAAAAGCTTCCTGTGGTGTCAGCATGTCGGGGAGCTTGTAACTGGCCACCTGCATACGCCAGTGGTATTCTGTGACCAGTGTCTCTGGGAGTCAGAGGTAAAGGGACGTGTCCGGATGGGATCTGAGGGCATTTGAAAGGCCCAAAGTTTGTGATAACACGTGGGTGGGGGTGGGGGTGTCTGTGGCCTCTTTCATCTCAAAGAGAGAGATTAAAGATTGTGACGTGTTATGAGATAGATCTATTGATGAAGAGCGCTCTGTAAGAGAGAGAAATTACTGTTGTTTATTGTTACTCACAAACTACCTGCACGCAGCACTTACGAAAGGCAACTAGCAGCCACCTCTGGACTGGAGGGCAGCAGCTGGGGATATGGGGAGAGGAATTCTGGGCCTGGAAACGGGAGCAAACACCCTGCTCTTTTGAAAAGCATGATGGGACCTTTAATATCCTTACAGAACAGGGCCTTTGCTTTTAAGAGCTCCTCTGAAAAATACAAACACAGTGAACTTCCTGGGACTTGGCTTGTTTGCCATAAGGCTGGAGAGCAGGCCTGGCCAGTGGTCTATATTATATAGTTCACTGTCCTCTGTCTGACCATCTATGGATGCTTCAGGAAAAGTTGCAAGAAGCCCCTTAATTATGGAATAAGGTGCTCAAAAGGGATGTTTCATCCAAACCACTGTCAGTCAGCCATTGTCTTATGCCCTGTGTCAGGTTTTTATCCCTTACAGTATTTGTTTAATATCATGTTTAATGTAACTTGCTATTTTCACTATCATAGCCCGTCCTCTGAATCCTGCTGTGAAGATCTCTTTTGGCAGTGAGTTTTGCAGGTGGTGTATAAACATTTTCATTTGATCAGTTTCATTGGCTGTGTCCCTGTGGTCTCATGTTAGGAGAGGGTAGATAGGAGCCCCTGTATCATGAGTTATTTTATGAACCTCTATCACACCCTCTTCTGTCCTGTCACCTCTTGAACAGTCCCCATCTTCTGTGGAAGTCTTCCCAGGCATCTGGTTGTTTTTGATGCCTCTCTCTGAACTGCTCCCATGCCTATTTTGAGATAGGGTCACCAAAACTGAGCCTGGAGATCTGAGGCCCACACCGCTGAGCCACTCTCTATGGTTTTATGTGATCTCAGCCATCTCCAACCTACAAATTTCTTGTAGAAGGCCAGTTGCCCTGGGCTGTCCAAAGAGTGCCCATGCTCAATTTGCGGTGAGTGTCATGCTGGCTGCTGGAATGGTGGGCCAGGCTCTAGTCATACCATGGCTGGACTATTGCCACAGGATTGCAGTCTCTTCACGACACGGGGTAGATTTGATTTATGCCTCCTCCCCTTTCCTTTATTTCTCCTGTATTGTACCTTAATGCAGGCAGCTAGCCTAGCGGCTCCTGAGCTGAGGATACAACATAAACTTGTACATAAAGCCCTTAGCAGCTTCTCTTCTATCTGAGTGGTGTCCGGGCCTGCATTTTGTGCTCTGTGTCTGACCTGTAGCTTTATTACACCTTCTGTGCCCTGGGGTAGCTCCAGTCATGAGGCCTCCTCTCCTCTAGTTCTGTGTCAGGAGACGCCTGTCTTACCATATGCATACCTGTGGTTCGCCTAGCTGCAGCCAGAACACCTTGTGCTGGGATCGAGAACACCTCGCGCTGGCATCCCCTCGTGGTTTGCAAGTGAAATAGGGCTTGGCCAGTGCCTGGGAGAACCCGCAGAGGCATGATTGTTAGATGTACTTTTCCCTCCAAATTGGTCCTGGACCAGTGCCCCTGCCTGGTGCTGGGGAGCTGCTGAAGGGACTATGAAACTAAAACCCCCGTTAAGATTTTCAGAAGTGACTAATATTTTTGGCTGTCTGGCTTGAGACAGGCACTTCAAAGGGGCCTGACTTCCAGGGAGTGGGTGCTTAGGACTTTCCGATAATCAGCTCCCTT